ATTCTGTTAGAGTCTGAGAAGTTCTGAAGAATGAAAGGAGTTCATGGTTCTTGGGTGCAAACGCATTCAGGATGATCCAGAGACGTTTTGGGATTATAATTTCTGTTTGAAAACCACATACGACTCCCCGAGGGTTTGGTAGTTCTCACGGAGACGCTGAAAAGAGTCAGAAAGGAACCTACACCGACGCTGAGTTCATCATCAAGGTAGATGGTTCTATTTTCGACCAAGTGTACCGTGGGCAAGCTGATATCTGATGGAGCGTGCAATTTCTGGTCAAACAGATTAATTCCCTCACATATTTCTCTGTAAGATAAATCTCCATTTCATCTTAAAACTCTCCTCTTTCTCATAAAATCAGTACAGATATTTTAGAAATATCTGAAGCAAAGTCCTCGATCACCGCCGAGTGATCGATGCTCATTTCCTGTGAAACTTGTCTGTTATTATTTTCATATTTTGCCAAATTAATGTAAATGTTTGATGTTAAACTTTGATTCTGAAAATAAATGACCGCATTGATTTGATGGGTCAAAGATAAATAACGTCTCTCGTTACATTTCTGTTAAATTCAATGCACGACATTACACAGTCAGAAAGATGAGGAACTCGTGAAAAAGTATGCATATATATCTCATATATTGTCATACTACATCTTGAACTACTCTACTACTCTAAGAAAAATGTGTGCACTTAAAAACTATATCTAGAAAAGCAGTTTCATCCATCTATCCATCCATCCATCCATCCATTATCTTTTACCCGCTTCTTTCATTTTGGGTCACGGGAGTCGCCAGTCCCGCAATCACTGTGCGAGGGGTGGGGTACACCCTGGACGGGTCGCAAGTCCATCACAGGGACACATAGAGGCAAATGAGACAAACAACCATTCAGTCTCTCATTCTCACCTTGGAACAATTTAGAGTTACCAATCAGTCTAACATGCATGTTTTTGGTCTGTGGGTGGAAACTGGATTACCTGGAAAAACCCACGCATGCACAAGGAGAACATGCAAACTCCACCCAGAAAGGCTGGACTGGGATTTCTACCGGCAACCTTCTCACTGAGAGGCAGCAGCTCCACCAGTTGTGCCACCACGTTGCCCAAAAGCAGTTTCACTTACAAAAAAATAAAAATAAACGAAGTTGTGGGATACAGTTAAATCCTTAAATATGCACACATTTGGCAAATAGCATTTTTTTTAACAAGTGGCCAATGCTGGCAAAATATAAACCTGTTGACCCAATAATCAGCCTATGTCTGCTTACAGCTGTCTACTCTGATGTTCATTTTTCTTATATGTCAGAGTCAGAGTTTCTTCATTGTCATTTGCACCACATGTGGTACATGTGGTGAAACAAGATTGTGTACTCAGGGTCCCAGTTACATCCCACAATAATGGTAAGGAAATATAGTTAGCTGCTATTATTTTTGTTATGTAACATAACTGTGTGCAGAGGAGTAGGCAGGACTTAAAGCCCCGCCTCCTTAGTGTATATATTCTGGTTCTAAAAATACAGCTTGTCAGCTTTTTTTTCGTCCTTCTTGCTTCAATTCCTAGCAACATGAAAAAATGGGAACACTTAGCCAAATGATAAAATAAATGCAGTCGATGGTCAAGACATAAGTAGTGGTCAGCAGATATGAGGTTTGCATGGGGCTGGGTGGTTGTATCATACAATCACTCTGCATGTGGGAAGTTCAAATGTCAGAGCAGCCAAACCAATCAGTATGTGAGGATTCCCCAGAACATAATGAAGTTTAGTTGCCCAAACCAGACCACACTAAAGGAGAGTTGTATTGTGCCCAAAGCATTGCAAGGCTGCACCTGTCATTCAGACACATCCAGCCTCATGTCTTAACTGCAGGTATCAATTGGTCTACAGGTTTATTTTCCCATGTATGTGACATGTTTTGTCAATAACGCCAGAGCAGAAATGGCTGTTTGATATTTCACTATTGTGCCATACCCCAGAATCAATCATATTGGTGTTATTCCAGACTTTTCATGGTGTTGTAGGGATGATAGTGGTTAGTGAGGGGGGGGTGGGGGGGTGAAGACAGGTACAGGTTCTTGCTATGTTTCATTTATCTTGAAAGTCAAAACTTGAATTTGGGAATGGCGTCACTTTCAACTTAACCATGTTCCAGTTGCAACATAGAAATCCAGTATGATTTGCTTGATGTTGTTTTTTGACTTTAGGGGACATTTCACTTGATTTTTCCAACTTGGAATCTAGAAACTATCAAATGAACTGTCATATGACTTCAGGTCACCCCTCGTACGGATTCAGTGGAAGCTGACAGCACAGTGCTATATCAATGACATTTGATGTTTCCATCTTACCCCTCCTAATACAGTGTCCTGTAACATAAACAGCACATATTGTTGCCTTTATTATTTAAAAATCCTACTGTGGTCAGCCAGGCCATGAAGATCATCTGAGCAGATCTAAAAAAATGTATGCATTATTGCACTTTGTTCTCATATTCATCCTTTCTAATGTGTTTGGTGCCAGAGGACATTGACATACTGCCTTTTAATTCAGTAAGTACTTAGTACAAAACCAAAGAATTTGAATAATGAATGTTTTTAGTTCTGGAGACGAGGATATTTCTGGACTGGTATTGAACAGAGAATTCAAGTAAATCTTAATGTATTTGGCGCAAGATATTCAAGTGAGTGGGAGTTACATGGTGAACAAGAATAGAGACAGTTTATTCATTTATTTTTTTCTGTCTGAGGCAGTGAAGAGTGAAGGATCCTGGTGGGTGGAAGGAGCAATTATTTTCCACAACTAGATGCAATGGTGGAACCAGAAATTGGACAACAGTGACCTTGGCAAGCACAAATTAACCTTGGGCTGCCCCACTTGACATCCCAGTCATTTGAGGAAACTATGATTTTTAAGTATGGTAAGTCTTTCTTGTAGCAGTTCTTGAATTGTGCCACTCAAGGTGGCTGCATGTTGGAGCAGCTCTGTTACTTTCATTCTGAGATTTTGCTTTTGGAAACTTTAATTCCTCTTTTTCTGGATATAAATCACATTTTTTTTGGATGCTTGTTTCCTCTGGTATCAGATGCTGTGCAGCTGGAAGGATTTTTACTGAAACTTTTTTAGTTTTGGACATTTGTTATGATGCGTAATCATGGCAACAAGGCATGTCCGACTGGGAGGAGATCCCGGAGAAGACCCAGGACACGCTGGAGAGACTATGTCTCACAGTTGTCCTGGGAACGCCTTGGAATCCTCTCAGAAGAGCTGGAAGAGGTGACTATGGAAAGAGATATCTAGGCTTCCCTGCTGAAGCTGCCGCCCCCGCAACCCATCTTTGGAACAAGCAGAAGATAATGGAAGG